ATATAATAATATATGTATATGGTAAATAATAACTACTTTCAATCACTATATTTTTTTATATGAAATCTATAAAATATATTTAACTATTTAAGAATACATGTATTAAACTGGAATGGTGTATAGATAGAAATAAAAGTGTAATTCTGCTGAGTCTTTGTCGATGAGGAGTGCATGTAAATGTTACTCCAAGGCGCATGTAACTTGTAATATCTAAATGACTCACTAGACTTGGTGCGTTCAACTTGTCTCGCTTCACTTACTTCGACGTAAGTTTATATTGTATATTGTTTTAAAAAGAATAGCAAATCGTTACATTTAAAAACGGAGCGGTCGTCAGATTAACCTACACTTGATCATAATTTTTGTACTTCTTCAACACTTTTTCTGTAGATTTTCTAAAAGTAAATATTCCAACAACAACTAACAGAGTAGAAACAAAAAACTACAAACGATTTACTTGATTATAGACTTATATAGATAAATTAAAAATTGAAAATTCTAATTTTTAATTGATTGATGTAAGGTTACTCGTCAAGTTGAAACTGTTAGAATTCTCCTTCAAGTCGAAAAATGATGATAGAAAATGTGAAAAAATAACATAATTTTAAAACAAATATATTTATCGCACTACTGAGAATACTGAGAATCTAAAATATATATCTCTCGCTTCGTTATGAATTCAAATAATAGAGAATATATATAAATTTATGAAAAATTATTATTATTTTTTATATACATTGAATTTATCTGCTTAGAATATGTATCTACTTCAACATCTTAAGAAATATATATATTTTTATAGCTAATCAAATAAATTAATATTTAAATTAAACTAAAATATTTTAATTCAAATTTAAAAATTACGGTTTTATTAACTAAACATACATATATAAAACATTAAATATATATCAAAAATTTGTTTCTCTCAGTCATTAATACATGGAACATTCTATGTTAAATGCAATCGTAGCGATCAATAATATCTTTGTGATAGTGAAAATCAATCAATCTTCTACAAAACGGAATTAATGAATTCTAAAAAGGCTTTAAGGAGTAAAGTTCAAGAGAAAGAAAGAGAGAGAGTTTGAGTGCATGAAAAATGTAGCATTGGTTTTTATTCTCTCGAACATGTTAACATATTCATTCTCAATTGGCGCCGAAGTCTGCATATATAATATACAGCTATTATTAGACTAGTTTGGAGTTAAAAAAATTTCTTGATTTACTAAAAATTCCATTATAAATGTTAATAAATGTTAATGTGAATGTACAGTTACATTTAAGTTAAAAATAAAAACAAATAAATAAACAATATACTATAATAGTACTTACTATATAAACTTAGACAATGTACATTAGATCAACTTTTTTTTATTTATTTTTTTTTTTTCACTATCTACTAACAACTATTTTTAAGTAAAAGAGGAGCAAAAAATTCATGATTGATTAAAAATTTTGAATAATGTCCATATTTTAGGTAGTTATTTATTAATGTAATAAATTAATTTTTTATATAATATTTTGTAGTAGGCATATAAACAATACCTACAAAATGTTGTGCTATATACCTGATAATTAAAATTTTTTTTTATTTTATATTATTTCCTGATTAAATAGTTTGATAATTAAAGTTCTTAGAAACACATCATTACATTAAAATCTTTTACAGTTAGAAAATGTTTATAAATTAAAGGTTTGCTTTTAATATTTATGAAATCAACTCCACTGATTCAATTAGAAAAAAAATTAAGGCAGTAAAAAGTAATGAACATAATTTGTATTAATTGCGTTAAGCACTTATAGAAACAATATTATTCACTATACTTTCGGTAATATCATGTAATTATTATACTCGTATACAATTTAAAGGTAAGCCATTTAATATATTATAATATAATATGCAAAAAATTCTTTTATCGGGGAAAGATGTACATTTGAAAAATATTAGATAAATAAATTATTTCTTATTGGGTTACAAGATCACCTAACCATATAACCCATGAAATTTTTAAATATAAAGTATTTTTCAATAAGATATTCTAAAGCTCCTTAATCCTAATACATAACAATATGTAAGAAAGGGGATTTAAATTATTACGACGAAAATAAAAGGCATTGTACTGCTATTTCGTCGCGTAATATTATATGGGCGATTTAAGTATGTTATTATTGAGTTTAATGCGTTATCATCTTATTTTCTGGCCCGCACACGAATACTAGCCACTATAATATTTCACTGGACTATTTGAACCACTAAATACCATTTGTTGATGGTAGTTTAGATAATAAAATAGTTTGTACATTTGTGTTTGGTCTCGTAGACAATTTCATGTGCAGTATACTCCAGAGTTTATTTTTTTTTTGTATCTCATCATATTTTGGCAATATATACCATTTAAGTTTTTAAAAATTAAAATTATAATTTTAAATATTAATAGATATTAATTATTATTGCTATTAAATAAGATTATCAATTACCTTTATACTCGTATGTAATACACTATACATAATAGTTAATTGAAGAATATTATTTATTTATGTCTCAAGGTTACGATTTTGTAACAAAAAATATAACCAAAAAGTTTAATTTGTTTACACATCTTTATTCTTTTTTTAAAAACAATTTATGTTTATGACACCGACGAATTATAAAGTAATTTAAACTAATAAAAAAATTATATTATTTTATTTATTTTCTGAGTTTTTGGTACCCAGATACAAATGATCGCGGGATTTTTGTTATAATGTTCTCATAGTTCTACTTTCTAGTCGATAAAAACTTACAGATTTTATTACTTTTGAATACGCGTTTACTGAAAAATGTATCAAGAAAGATGATTTAAAATTATACGAACGAGTTACAATGATAAAATATTAAATTGATATCCATCACGCGCGTTATATATTAAATACACCTGTATATATACATCATATAATAAATAATTTATCGAGCCGAGGTGTCATTATAAGTAAGCACACTGCTAATTTCATTTGTATACAGTACCTTCAAAGTTATCTTGCAATAAAATATGTTTTATAAAAAAGTAATTTTTATAATCATAAAAACAATAATGATATTGTAAAACGACATATAGATTTGGTAAATTTATTATTAAAAACACTTATAATTTGCATAAACTGTCTATGGAATAAAAAAAAATTAAAATATTATACTATAGCAAAAACAAATTTTTATACAGTAAGTAAGAAAAAATAATTAATGAATATCAAATTTAAAATAGCCAAATAAATTACTAGTCTTAAGTTCAATTCAGTGTTATATATACGTGTGTTATTGTGTAAATCATACAAAAAATATTTTTATTTCTATTTTATGCGTCATTATTTACATAACTTTTCTTTGAATAAATAATGACAAAATGTTACATATTTTTTTATAGTAATTTAAAATCCCAAATGACAAGAACATTCAGTGTCAAGCAAAATGTTATTCTCAAAGGGAATTACGCCTGGTCGTTCATTTGTTTAAAAACATTTCGAAAAAGAACTCACGTATAATATCTAGACTTTGGTGTTCTAAAAATTACAGATGGGACTTAAACAGTTTAATAGGAAAAGTTTCGTGGTTTTTTTTTTAGGTTTTTTACTACAATAAAGTCATTTTACAGGCATGACATTTCTTACTTAATAATTCCATGAGGGTGTTAATAATAATCACTAATCTAGTGTGAAAAAAGGACTTAATACTATCGTAAAGTTTGTTTTATAAACTGACAAAATGAAGCAATACTATTTATCATATAATTACTGTGCATCTTGGCATATTAACAACAAATATTTTTATATTTAATATTTTCGCCATGATATTAAAATGCAAAGATTAAACATATTATATTTATGTGATAAGTTCTATCTAAAAATGGTTCAATATTTTATTATACTTAACATAGAGTATAATATTGTGCATAGTAATTTCTAATTTATATAGGCATTATACAATTAATTTTGCATGTATATATATATTAATATATTTTAAGAGTATTATTATATTCCAAGCATTATAAACTATTATTATGACGGTTGAGATTTTTCATCAAATTCATAAATTTATCAAACTATAATCTCCTTAAGTATTAACTCAAAAAATCACTAAATTGTAAAAAAGTTATACATTTAACATTTTAAAGTTTTTTGAATGTAACTTCGGTATTGAGAGTGAATTTTAAGATCTGTTTTTATTACTCAACGTCAACACATACGTATAACTATAATAAGAACACCACAGTCATTATATATAAAATAAATGTTGCCACTTATTACTGTAAGACTATCAACGACCTCCGGCCATCAATATTAATTTAGATTTATCTGTTGCATCTGAAGGACCAAACGTGGTCTATCGTTGATTTTTTTATATAAAACCATCCAAGAATAACGTAAAAGGTCACCTTAAAATTGTTTTTAAAAAATAAAAAAATAGTTTGTTTAGGGACCTCAGGTTGTTTTTAGAGTTTCTAACATCACAAAGTAATACATTAAATAGAATATTAAATTATAAGTAAAAAAAATAAAATGTTTTGTGAAATTACCTACCTACACATTTTAAACTGACTGTTATAAATCAGTTTCAATCCTACTTATAATTTAGTCTAATGTAACACGAAAGTCATAAGATAGCTATTTATTTCAAATGTGTTTTAAAATCATCTTCAAATTTCTCAAGTATAAAACACAAAAAAATATAATTAATATTTAATGCATCAATTGACATATAAATATTATTTTTTTTTTTTAATTGAGTTTATTAATAATTGTTGCATCTTGGTATTTTTGAAACTTAAATTCGACGCCATTTCTATCACAATAAATACAATACAAATTGAAATGTAATAATTTATTATGTTAATTAGTTTTCAAATTATAATATTTAAAATCAATTTATTATCTCCAGAAAATATGTCATGTGATTCAACTTTAATGTATTATAACTTGTAAAAACATACATATTATAAACAATTAATTGAATTTTTATGTTCTAGGTTTTAAAATGCTACCTAAGTATATCGCCACTAGTGTTTTAACACTTGTTTTGATTTTCGCTGATTACTTATGTAGTTCAGTTGGAAGTATGGAAATTAACATTGCTCATAAACTATGCAAATGTTTTAACACAACCAATGATAATGGATCGATTAAATGTATATGTGTTCAAAATGAACTTAAAGAAATTCCAAATGACCTGCCAACTCCTTTACACGAACTGTATGATGATCATTTTTTTAGCTTTTAATAAATATTGATAAATATTTTTCTTTTAAGGATAATTGGAAAGGCTTCAATTGAAAATTTAACAAAGGATTCATTCAAAAACTACAGAACAAGCCTTAGAGATATGTAAATATACTATATATAATATAATATTTTAAATAAGAATTATAATATTTATAAAAAAATAAAGGTAAAATATTTTTGTTTTTCAAATAATTTTAAATCTAAAAATGACTCATATTCTAATATAATTTATTATTTAAAACTATTTATGTGTTCTAAGCATACAAATTCTGTTTAATAATGAAATTTGCTTATCTGTATATACGTATTATAATATTAATGAAATTTCTCAATTTGTGTGTAGGTAGAAATTATATATATATATATACAAAAAAATGTATAATAGTTATAAAAATGTACAAAAATAAATAGTACTGTTATTCAATGATTTTTTTTCTGGATATAAAAATTTGGGTGGACGTAAAATTCTTATCAAAGAAGGAGAAAAAATATTAAAATTTATTTATTAAATGAAAATTATTTAAACAATGATTTTAAGTAAAATAAATTTTAAAATGTAACGTAATAAATAGCCACCATAAATTTTGTATCAAATGGTTTTATTTATTGAACTAAATTTCAGAAATTGAAAAATTATCACATGAACAATGGGTTCAATTTAACACATTTTTTTTTTTTTTTGATATTAAAACTGATAACAATAAATAATAATTTTTATCTGTATGTATTTACAGAACATTAAGAGATCTAAAAAATTTAGCTTACATAGAAAATGGAATTTTTGATAAAATGGAACAACTACGAACTATGTAAGTACCCACGGATATATTATGTATAATTTTATGATTACTAGATACATGTATTATGAGGATGTTATACCAGTATGTGTTATCTTCGTCTAACAAATGTATAACATATTTAATTTTACGTTCACAATAATTTATTTTTAAAATTATAAGGAATTAGTCCATTATATAATTTAAAGGTAAAACTATTTTCTATGAAATTTCGAAAGCTTTTATTAATATTTTAATTACGAAGTAAATTATGAGCATTTTAAAACTGTAGATTTTTTTTATTGACATTAAAATGGATATAACTTGCTTCAAAACTAAGAATTTTAAATTTCAAAAATAACAATGTAAAATAAATTATTGTGAGTGTAAAATATACAATATTTTAAGATTTTTAAATGGAAACAACACATGTGGATGAAGTGTTCTCTTAAAGCGATTTTCTGATGAACGTTTACTGTTTTCAATAAAGTACTAAATGTGCTAAACATTAAAAACAGAATGCTATTGCTGTAAGATTGTTGTTATTATCTCAAATATATGAGTAACCAACAATAACACTTTAACATTCGTCACTGATTACTTACGAAAGTGTTAGGAGAGCCATTTTAGTGTTTAATAGTTTCTAATAAAAATATAATAGAATAATATTAATCAAACTTAATTTCTAGTTTTAGAAATAACATTAACAATTGTTAAGTATATTTTAACGATTTATAAAAATTCAATAAATATAATATTTTAAACAAAATGTTATTAATCATTTTAATATTATATAGATGTTAATTTATAAAAATATAAAGTACAAACAAAATATTAGTATCGTTAATTACAACTGATCAGTGTGATCATCTTTAAATAGCTGTTATTTTATATTGCTATAAGGACCATTAGGTGAACAAATATAGTAAGTCATGACATTTAAAGTTCTTTTAATGAAATCAGGAAAATTTCAAAAAATGCAAGCAAAAAATAAATGAAAATATTTTTAACTAAAAAGAATGTTTTTCTTTCATTCGTTTCGTTGTTGAAGTTCCGTTACAAACAGGGTATCTTATAATTTTCATACACTGCAGTTTGTATACTGTGCGACGTCAGCGTATGACACTTAATATTATCCAAATTGTTTTTTTTTCGAAATCTTTGATTCACTGAAAAAATACTTACACGCGTAAAATATTTCCCTTGGGAGCTGAAAGGTTTAAATTAACCTTTAAATTGATTGACTTAATTAAATCCTCAATTTAATGCAATAAATAATAAAAAAAAAATACAGATACACACTTTTATAAATTTTAGGCGACAACTGTAAGAGTAATTTAAATAATTAAAGGAAAATAATACCTTTTCGCCACAACATTTGGGAAAGTTAATTAATATTTTATTTTCGTTCAATATCATATAATGTAATTTCGTTCCAACAGCAAATGGACGAAGATTGCAACTTAAAATAATAATATAATAAATATAAAAATCAAAGGCCATCTATTGATCGGTCGAGTCGATAAGAACGACCGTTAATATCTGCGTAGATACCATAGTAAATAAATCATATCATACAATACTATATATTATTATAAAATTTCTTTAAGTCTTTCAATATCAAAATTTTCTTCCTCAATCTTCAGTACACCTATTTTAGTATTCTTATATAATATACCTCACAATACGTTTATTTCGTAATTTATTTGATATATTTTTATTTTTTAAAAATAAAAAATAAATAGACATTGTAGTTGTTGTATGCAAGCATGCTCCAACGATAGATTGATGAACGTTACTAAAATAAAAACTTCTGTGTTAAGTTTATTTTTCATTCGGCTAATACTACATTCTCAGCGAAAAGCTAATTATAGGTAATATTTTTATGCATGAACCACGTGAAAAATTCAATAATTTACTAGTATAACATACAACTTTATATCTAACACATTACTAATAAGTAATAACAATATTATATTCTATGCACGATAAACATCAAATTATATATTTTACGTTTATGTATAAGTTGAATTTGAAAAAAAAATTACAACTACGTATTACTTTTATTTGATTTTAGAATACTTTTTAAGTGGTTTATGAATTCTTAGAACGAATACTTCTATGTTTTTAGATAAGACTTTTGTAGCACATATTTTAAACTAGGTAATAGTAGTTTTTATATTATAATATGATGCAAATAATAAATTAAAAACACGAATTTGTATCTTTAAATTATTTTGTAATAATTAGTATTTCAATAAAGCTAGGTAATTATTCTAACAACAAATACCTATTCCCATAAATCATTAATGTTTAAAAAAAAAAAAAAAAAATATATATATATATAATTTAAATCCACTATAAAATTAATTAAAAAAAAAAAAAATTATATTTTACCTATTTTTACACTATTTATATTGTTAAATGTTTCAAGTTTTTTTTTTTTTTTTTAAATGACAACATCCATTTAAATTTTCATATTTAGAAAAATAAAATGAGGAAGTATAAAAGTAAAAATTCATTATTTTTTTATTAGTTCATATTTAATTAATTATAAATTATAATAATTTTAAGTTTAAACGAGTGGAATACTAAACTAACATTCTGAGGGTTAATTCTTGTACCACTTGCTTAAACTGCACTGATTAACTTAACTTATAACTTATAAGTTTTAAGTTATAAATAATTAGCTACATGTTTAAAATTCGACTGTGATGTATACAATAGACAGAAAAAAAATCTTTTTTTAAATATGAAATTAAAAATAGATATTTTCATTTGGAATAGTTATAAATCTTATTACATTTTAATGATATCGTATAAATAGTAAGATATATATTATATAATGTTATTTTGTAATTAATTTTTTTATATAATATACTATTTAATTTATGAAAAATACAAATTTCAAAGATAGCTAATGACTGCTTACTGTTTAAAAAGTTTTATTTTTCTGAGTATGATTTTTTAAACGAATCCTGTACTTTATAAAAGTAAAAATAATATTACATATTTTTATGGTTTAAATAGTTTGTAAAGTCACAAATACATTTCTGACAGAAATTTGATAATGATAAATTCAACGTTTCAGTGTCTTAAGATTTTATAGAAAATAATTAGAATCTCGACAGACACTCGGTAAAAGTTACGTCTAACGCCAATCAAAAAAATATTTTTAATTTATAATTTAAAATTCAGAACGCTTTTAATGCATATTTTTAGTATTTCTAATAAGTGTTCTTCTGAAAAGAAACGCGCTATGTTTTTAAACAACTTATTACTTATATGTTATTTAATAAACTTATATTTCTCACTTGAAGCGTACATTTATTAACACAAAATTTTGAATTATACTGCTTCCAAGAAAATAATTATCTTGCATAATATGTAAGAATTAAGTTGAATTATTCAATGGTATTATTGGAAAATGAAAATAAAAAATAATTATTTGAATAACCTTATTTGTGGCCATATTATATCTTATAATATATAGTTTATATATATATATATATATATTTTAAATTTTAAACCATTTTTGATGTGTGTTTGACGTGCAAACACCTTAAAAGTAAACAGACTGCCTTTAATGCTTGCACTTTTAACACTCTTATTTGGATACCTGTAAACGTCATATTTTTAAAAGGTTCATTTCAAATGTTTGTAGTTGACTCTACAAATATATACTTGCAGTAACATATTATTGTGTAACCACCAACATTATTTGATCATAATACAATATTTTATATCATTTAGAATTATGTTACTACATAATTATTATAAGTTAAGTTAAAAAAAAATCCTTTGCTTAAAAATCGACTATCCATCATAAAATTATAAGATAAAATAAAATTAGTACCGTGTGGGAGTAAATAACAAAAATAAAACTTTTTTGTGTTTTACATATTATAATATAAATTTAATTTTATTATTCAAAGTAAAAGTTTTTATCATTTAATATTTTAAAATGTTGAAAACTTGTTGTTTTTTATTTTTTAATTTTAATTTAGTTAACCCAAGAATGTGATAGGAAGTTATAACCATATAATATTTCAATAACCGGTTATATCTAATACAAGGATATAGTTTGTATTGGTAAAATGTGTACTTTTAAAGTTGTAGTTATTATATTAATTGTTAAACAATAGTAATTCTAATCTTAACTACATAAAACTATTTAACTTGTGATTTCTATACAGTTTAATTATGTAAACATACATAGGTAAGACTATAAATTAAATTTCGCATTACAAAAACATAAATTAAAACCAGTAGTCATGGGTAATTTGATATTTGTAATCCTTTTATGCAGAGAAAGACTAGGAAATCATTTCACGTATGACAGGCATTTTGACAAGGGTTCCCGTAAAAGTTGTAGATTAACCTCGTATAATATATGATACATCTTAACATAAGGGGAGATTTTTTTTGATAATAGCAGTAATCAATCACTGTGCTCGACCACTTTGACACATGTATTTAAATAATAGGACAGTTTTACTTATTATTTTAAACATAAATAGATTTCAATTTAATTAATGACAAATTTTTAACTGAACCATAAGTGATCGATTTTTAAAATTATAAATTGAGTAACTAGAATGTTTTATATTTAAGCATATTCTGGATTAAGACATAAAAAATAGATGCATGAATAGTTTAATTATTTTATCAAGTATCTATCTATAAAGATTATTTTATAACATTTTTGTTTTGAATCGAAAAAAACAAAATAACACAGACTTAAAATCTTTAATCTTTTAGTTTAATCAAAAAAATTTAAATCTAAGAGGTGTAAATTATAAATATCTCCTCGATCTGTATTTATCATACCTGTTTTTAAATAAATATATTTGAGCTATATATTTTAAGTTGTTACAGAAATGATTATATTTTGTCTTTTTTTTTCCGATCCTTAAAAAAAAAAAAAAAAAATTAAGTTCTTAATTAAAATTGATCTTGTTCTTAATATTTAAGCCATTATTATTATTATTATTATTATTTTAATCATATATTATATAAATATATTAATATAATAAAAATAAATACTCAAATATTGAATAGATATTAAATAAACATATAATATTAATCAAATTTAATTAAAATTCGTATGTAAAGAACCTAACTTATTATAAAGAGATACATAATATTTTAAAATCATAGTAAAAAAAATAAGATTTATCATTTTTCAAAAGCACGGTAATATTTACTATCTCCATTATATATATCGGTATTTAACACGTTTTATCAAAAAAATGTCATCGCATACTATAGTAACAGCTTTGGTTTCTAAAATTTAATAAATAAGCGTATTATGATTTATTGGAATCAAACACTGTATGATAATAAGTGATGATAAATGCTGTTTTTCTGTTCCAGTGTTATTCATATCGCGCCAAAACTGAAGGTGATTTCTCCATCTCTATTCGACGTGGATTTACCTAGATTGAAAATCTTGTAAGTAAACACTGTTTAAGAATAATATCTCACCTTGATTATTGTCATTGACTGATAATTTAAACATAATTTCTATAAAAATATAATAAATGATAATATTCTTCTTCTTAAATTTAAAGTTTTTATTAATTTAATATTTATGTTAAATTTATTTAATAATATTATATATAATGATAAAACACTAATTCTTAAAAAAATAAACATATACAAATATTTATGTGTATATATACATATTATGTAATATTAGATTTTTAGGTACTTATATCGTACTATTATTTTCAATAAAATAATATAATTTTTAAGTTACGATTTAAGTAAAAAATTACAATAATTAACACAAATTATTTTTATTAGATAACTAAATTGATGGAAAAATATTCTCGAATCTTAAAATTACTGTAAATAATCAATGTATTTTTAAATTATTATATTTATTCTCTTAATATCTATGAATACATACATTCTTTTCAAAAAACACATTCATTTTTGGAATCTAACAAATTTGTTCATATTCTTCTTTTATTTTCTCTGCTCTTTTGTGATGCCATTTATTCAGACATTTTTTACGATACATACTTATTACATTTAATATTTATTATTTTCATTAAATTTTAAGACTAAAATTTATGTTTATCTGGATTTTAATTAATTTTGATCAAATAACTAAAACGATAAAAAATAAATGACACAACAACAATTATTATCGTTATGTAGGTTGCATTGACAATCGTCATCTTCCGGGCACGAAATTATATAAATATTCTAAAAACAAAAATGGTCGTAAACACCATCTGGTTACTACACAGCATATTACTATATTTTAATGTATGGTACTGATATTAACTATTTTTATTTGAATATCCTATGACATCATAATATTTCTATTCTGTAGTTTGTCTTAAACTGTAATAATTTTACACAGGATATACACAATATAAACTACCATTTAATACAATTTCAAGCCGACTTTACTCAAAAACATTCCTCTTGCCACCTTTATTATGAATCTAAATGCTGGCCAAAATTATTTTTCAAGGATAGAAATAAAATCGAGCGTTGAATGAGCATGCATATACAATTTTGATTTTAACTTTCAGTGATGATTGTTAGCACTTATTATGTATAAACATATTTGTACTGTCGTTCGTCAATTTATTTATATTTTTTATTTAAATTATTACATAAATTATATTTATTTTTTTTACGTTTATAGATAAACACTATGTTACGTACATATTACGAGAACCGGACTGGCCGAATGTCAGTAAATGTTATTTTATATTTTTAAGAGTTAAAATTTACATGACATAAGGCCACAACTGCGTGTTTATATTTCACCATCAATTTAATAATAATAATAGCAATAATACAAAGCCGGTGTGGTCGCCTATATATTATGTATATGAATATGAACTCAGTTATTTTGTCGACTAAATTATTATAATCTGTAATAAACATGAAGAGAGGATAATAATCATCTATGAAGTTAGTGCTATTCACTACTATTTTACACCTATATTTAGTAAAATTAACCACAGGGTATTTCCCAATGTTTGCGGTTTTCATCAGTATTCTGGTTTAACCATGAAGAAATATATATTCGTTTTGACCGTACTATTGATTAGGAATATTAAAAGCACAACTTTTAAAACGTTATCATAAAGCACACGATTGACCCTGTAAATAAGTATTCATTTAATATATTTTATATTTTTACAATCAACGAGAAAATGGTGTTTTTAGATTTTGTTCGTATGTACCTATTGATTATACAATAATGGGTATTTTTGTATCTATTTATTATTCTTAATGTAAAAGAAAAATAAATAATTTTCTCTTCTACTTCATGAATGGTTTTTGATAAATTGGATTTAATTGGTCCTTCAGAAGACCAAGTATGAAAATCCTTAGAAATTTTTTGAACAATCAAAAAATCAAAAGAAAATAGCAATAATTCATATTAAAAATCAGTTTTCCGTAAAACCTTTTTAATATAACTGAAAAATAAATAACCATTGAGTCTTGTTTTTTTTGTGTTGATAAAAATATGTAGGCCCCATAAAAAACTTAAAAACACAATACGAGGTTTCCATGAGTTTTTTTTATTTAAACTCAAAAATCAAAATGACGTTTAAGCATAATTTTTTAATAGATATTTCAAATTTTGACTAAATTAGATGTTTAAACAAGTATAAAGAAAGAATTCAGTTTATTCGTGCAGTTCATTAATATTGTTTGTGTTATTTGTGAGGAACTTAAAACAATTTACATACAATATTATATTTCACTATACTCATTGGAATTTTCAAAATATATGTATTATATACTTTTAAGCTATTACCTATTTATACCATGAACATATTCATAAATTTCAACGAGTGGTCGTCAATGATTCAAATGTGAACAAGTGTTATAATAATTAGTTTTGTATAATATGATGTTTACATTAATAATTAATTCAACCTAACACATTACTTTAACAGTAAAACGAATTACCACAACAAAATACACTTAGTAATATAGATTAATATACCTCATTCGCTTAGAATCTTTTTTCGTTTATAATGATTTCAAACGCAATACATCCATTACAATGACCCACTGAAAAACGAGAGGATTACTCGACACCTACTGTATAGTAGAGCGGTTACCATCTCGTCCAATTTAATTTTAATTTTGAGTCGAGTCGAAAAAGATCATTTTCCAAATTCATTGGTAATAAAATAAAACAGAAAGTTGTTGACGAGCGAGAACGAACGTCATAGGTTATTAATTAGTTGAAATCACTATAAATCTACTTATCAGTGATGCGTTCTATAATACGTATAGGATTTATTGACATTAATGAGTGCGGTGTGTGAAAGTGTGTAAATGTTTTACCCAATCGAACAGGATATTTGATTAAAAACCGTTAATGTGTTTCCCGAGACAAACTAATCAAGGAAAAACTAATTAACACCATTTACGCTGTCATGTGTATGTTTGCGTGTTCCGTGTGCGTGGTTGTAAAGTTGATTTTTCATTACAATTTTGACGAAACAAACGCAGCTGTGGTTATAATTTTTGAACGAATTATTATACGTAATATATGAATGTGTAGGTAATATATAGATATATTATGTATGTTTGTTTGATGTATAAATTTACCTACTTAAACGTCTTAAATTGTTTTAAATGTTTATTGTTTACGCAGGTAGGTTATATGATCATGTAAACGATAATATTATATATGTAGGTACGGAATTACATAACTAAATAATATGTAATAGCGACTATATACGTATATTAAATTAAGTTTTGAATTGTGCTTACCAGTTTGTTTTTAATTACATGTGCGCCACATGGTTGATTTTAAAAGAGCATATTAAAGTGATTTTCCGACCCCACTTGGAAATTCAAAACGCGTTATTCATTAGCGGATGGAGTCTGCAGTATATGTTTACTGTAATCATCAAATTAATGTAAACTTGAAAAATTATTCTTTCTCTGTGATGACCATAAAGAAAAAAAAATTATGTTAAATTTATATTGGGATGACTTATTGGGGTTATTATTATTGATATAAATAACATTATTAATAGTGTTTTAAAATATACAATACAATGTAAAAAAATATACACGATAATTTAAAGTAAAAATAACCGATGAATTTTAAAATATTTTATGAAAAAACGGTCTAAGAAAATACGGCTATGAAATTTCTTAAAATCTTAGTTAAATAATTTAACACAAGGTACAAGAAATCGTATTCGAAGACAATTTAGGGTTCTTTGGAAAGTATTTTTCAAAGAAACTATTTTTCCAGTTACTACAAGCACAAACAATAAATCGTTGAAAAATTTACGGATTAAAAAAAAAAAACTGTTGATTTTATATTGAAAAATTTAATATATTAAGTTGCTTACCCGATATTTAGTTTTCACAATTTCTACAAAGTCTGTATAAATTATTGTGTTTTCAGTATAGTATTTCTGATTTTTTTTTTAATTATAAGTTTATTCCAGTAATACGAATTTGGGACGTTGTCTTATTTTCATTATTATTTAATCAAAAATACAATGTTTCGTTGATTAATAAAAATAAGAATCACCTATGAATTTTAAATTATCGTAGATATACCTAATTAAGTTTATGCTTTATATATATTTTATATATTTTATTAGAAAAATAACTAAGCAGATATAATAAATTTCAATGTGCATTTTACATACACATTTTGTTTTGAAATGTTGTGTATAAAAAAATAAACATTTTTAATATTTCTGTAATTTTTTAAGCTATCATTTTGCACTGAATTTAATATGGATTAAAGATTACAAAATTAGTCAATAATTTTAAATTTATCAAAAAATAAACGTGTATATATATATAAATACAATCGCGTTTATTTACCCAGTATGTATTTAAAAATAAAAAACTATATGCTCCCACAGCAGGGGTTCACATTTAACTAAATTCCTGTCGTCTAGCTTTCAAACATTATATTTTTGAATCTATTATATTACATGCTATTCAAAATAATTTCTTTAGAAGTATTTTTTATAATTGAAGTTGTATTTTATTAATAAAAGTATTTAAATCCTAACGTTCTAATAAACATATTTAGGTATTTATTTTTTAATATATTAGATTTGTATTACTCATTGGATTGTCTCATTTCGTTATACAATTACAAACTACTAGTATGCGTAAGCCTCTGTCACCGGCGGCTTAAAAATGGGTACAATTAATAACTATTATAAATACTTACGATATGTATATATATATATATATATATATATATAATTTAGGGTAGTCCTTATTCATAGGTGAAAAAAAAAATGTTTTTTTTTGAGTACCCTTTCACTTTGTTCATCACTATAAACAAATAATTTAGGTTAAATTTAGTGATGATATCTCACCCCCTTCATATACCGCAAAAGGATTAAAAATGACTAATGACGGTTTATTTACCGTTTTTCGAATTTAAACACAAAACTATAAAATCCACATAAAAGCATATAGAATCTCAATTGTAGAAATTTATATTACCTACAAAAAATGTTCTTACAAAATTTTTTGTAAATCCTTCATTTTCCGAGAATTTGTTAAACAACTTGATTTTATGTTTATTTGGAAAATTTGATTTCTTTTTATGGTTATTCTAATATACTTGTGTCTAGTATGATTGAAATTAGAACAAAGTTATTTATATAAAAAAATGTTTAAAATATTATTTAAAAAAAATAAAGTTATAAGTAAAATTTGCATTAGACCAATAACTTTGTTTTTACAACAGGATTTGTGAAATATTTAATTAAACAACTCTTTTTTACCATAATAAAAAACCAAACATTACATAATTATTATTTTATTTTATTGATAAATAAAAGATTACTTCATAGTAAAGTTTGATAAAAAAAATGAATTATTTTATACTTAGATATTACTTGTATAATTATTTCTTAAAACTATTATTAAGTTAAGTTCTTAGAGATTAAATGAATTATTGAATTATTAGGTATAGGGCGTTTTCAAATTTTCTTGGCTATGCCCTGGGTATTTACGAAATAATCTTGCATAATCTGAAATCATTTAAAATGTAATTTATATATTAATTATTTAAACACAATTTATAATGACTATAGTTATACTTTTTATATATATTATTCATATAAACTATACTTACTTTCAATAAAAATTGTTATCAGTTCGTTGTTGACCTGCAGCGCGGCCGCACGTTTGTACGGTTGTTCGCATTGTTATCGCATTTTATTATGTAAACAGTTATCAATTCACGGATTTCATTCCGTTGAATACGTTTTCATTTAATATGATATCCTCTCCGAAAATTTTCAAATCCAAACGGTTGCTGCCGTCTTCTCCAAATTCACCTAATCTAACGGAAACCAAAAAAACCAAGTCATTTGTTTCGCCAAATAAATTCGCTGTCCTAGCTAACAATGAGGACCACGATGACCAACTCGATACTTCTAGTGATACTACCAATATTATCAACAAGTCTAATATTGATCATCAACAGGACAATCTCAGGGCTCCGCCAGTATACGTTCAAAATATCACCAACTACTCCGCATTCAAAAATACATTAATACAAATCACCGGCCTAAACGGTTTTTCTTGTAAGTCTACTTCTTCCTCTCTGATTATTCGACCGCATGGACGTATTATGTTTAACCTAATCGTTAATCATCTAATGGGCACCAGTGCCTCTTTTCACACTTTCATGCCTCCACCACATCGACCTTACAAGGTCATTATCAGAAACTTGCACCATACAACACTCATCTCCGATATATCTGATGCACTCTCGGAGTTAGGTCACTTCACCAGACGAGTCACAAACGTCATAAAAAATGGGCACCCATGCCCACTGTTTCTTATGGAATTAAATCCCAACACCAACAATAAAGATATCCTAAACTTGTCTTCAATTTTGCACACATATGTAAAAGTCGAACTACCATATAGGACAAAGAGTGGTCCACCTCAGTGCCGTAACTGCCAAAACTACGGTCACACCGCAAATTATTGCCACCATCCTCCACGGTGTGTCAAATGTGGGAGTGACCACCACACCGAAGTCTGCACCAAACCCAAAACCAGTCCAGCCAAGTGCGCCCTATGCAAGGGTAATCACACTTCCAATTACAAAGGATGTCAAATTTTCTAAGTTCTTCTCACTCAATCAAAACCACAGAATCCGATTCCGGTACCCACTTCTCTTCATCTCCAAACTCCCCCTCTCCCTCCTAAAACTTCTTGCGCCTCCGTTACTAACTCCAAAAATATACCTCTACCCAATATCCACGCAATTGATAATCCACTAACTACATTTTTATGAGAACTTTCCTCTTTAATCACTCCCCTCATTACGCTCCTTTCAGCTGTTCTAAATAAACAGATTGTTCCATAGTCCGATACTCTGATTACCTTTCTTATCATATAATTAAATTGATTTAAAATATTTTCAATTGCCAGTATGTAAATGTAATTACTGTACCTATAGGTCTTCAATTCATATTATTACTGTAACATTTTATTATATATCATATAATTGTAATGTTTAATTTTGTACCTGTACAATTGTAATTGTCAAGCTATCATAGTTTTCAACTAATAGCTAATTAAAAAAAAAAAAACTGTTATGCGTATTTTACATTAATTCTGTCATCAAATAAACTAAAAGCTATATATTCTTTATTTAGGTACCATAAATGGTTTAGAGATTTATATAAAGCTATTTCTGCAATAATTTTATCGTCCTTTTTATAAGAATGAAGTTTTTTTATAAATTTTAAACCATTGAGTGGTGCTTGCATCTGAAGCTGTAAACCAAGATTCTGTATAACATTTTACAATAAAACAGCAAATGATTTGTAAGGCTTTTTCTTCTCCTACATTTAATTTGAATTGGTTTTGAAATAATATAATATAATCTATCTGGCCAAATGATAGGGTTCTGGCCGCCGAAATTTGATACCGCCCGAAGGAATATTTCCTAAAAATATTACTACTAATTCAAGAAATTCTTTATAATCGCTCCGAGGAAAGTCATTTCTAAGTTTTTTATGAACAAATATTAATATATTAATCATTAAGAACAATACTGGTCTTAACATTCGTTGACCAAATTGAAAATTGTATTAAATCAATTGTTTCCCATGATTTTTAAACAAAGTTATTGGTATAATGCAAATTTTACTTATAACTTTATTTTTTTTAAATTATATTTTAAACATTTTTTTATATAAATAACTTTGTCTTGATTTCAATTATACTAACCAAGTATATTAGAATAACCATAAAAAAAAATCAAATTTTTCAAATAAACATAAAATCAGGAATAACAGTATTGATAAAATACAAAACCATAGGTATAATTTATGTTCAATAAAATATTAAGTTCTTACTATAATAATAAATTAAAGTTACTTAAAACCTAAGACAACTTTTTTAAAAATTAAGTTTGCCTTTAAATTTTATAATATTGTTAGTTACAAGTAAATACAAGTAAAATGTAGGTAATAATAATAACCAAATTTTTTTTAAATATTTTATTTTGTCCAAAAGAATTTTCTACACATATTTAGGAATATATTATATATATTTATATATGTTTATGTGTAAGTATTTTACACGGGATCTACTTACTTTTATTTACGCTCGAAACAAATGTCATAGTGAAATATTAGACCTACTTAATAATTTTTATTTATTATTATTTATATTAGACTTATATCATATGTGTTTCAGTTTTTGTTTTTAGTTGCTCTACTAACTTTATACGTTTGCGTTAGAAACAATAATAAGTAATAACAGTGCCTATTATTAATACAATTACTATTTGTTTTTGCGAAACAAAAAGATTTTAGACAATGATACATAATTTGACCGGGTCAAGTCTAATATCATTCTTATCATTAAAACCAATCACTATATTGTCATATATATGTATAATTCATTCTCTAAATAATCTTACCCAAAAATATCTTTTGTACTCTATCATTTGCAATCAATACGTCTGATCCGATGAAGGAATAGTATAAATATGAAATGGTGCAGGGGCACTTTACCTGTCTACGACTTTTGAATTTCAAATATTATTTTGCAATTGATTTCGGACAAATTTAAAATATTCATTGTAGGTACTTTACCCACTACGAAGTGCGTGCGTGTTATTACATCATATCATTAAATACAAAACAGTATAACTACATAACTGCGATAACTACGTTCTATGACGAATCGACTCATGTATTCAATAAACCAATAGGAATAGATTCTGCTCGTGACAGCTTAGTGATAACAAAACTTTGCTATATTTTTACAAAGCATGCGTATATTCGACATTTATAACATTATCGTATCTTACCTATGATGTGAAATATGGTATATTGTCGCGTTTAATCGGATGTATAGAAATTATCCGGCAACAACAATGTGAAATTTTCATCAGATATAAATATAGCACATCTATTTTAATGATATATTTTAAATTCAAAAAACATATTTGCGTTCAAATTAAACATATACAAAAATGACAAAAAGTTATTGAACGACAGGGTCAGAAGGGCATATATGACAAAGGCGCGTATCTAAAAAAAATGTTACTAATTTTTTATGTATAAAAATGTCTTTAAATGTAAACATTGCGTCTCTAAATGATAATAATTAATAGTATGAAATGATATGTTTAGTACCTAATTTGTACTCATATTTATATTTTTTATTTGTATTTAATGTTAGTCTCAATAGTAATAATTTAATTTAAAAAAAAAATATGGTATAATCAATTATTTAAAAACGGTTTCAATAATAGTATATAATATGAAAACTCATTTTATGGGCAAGTAAATTTAATTTTCAATCATTCTATCATTTTTTATTCTGTACAATTATAAGCATTTTGTTTACATACATTTATAAATAGCTCTATTGACCGAGATTTTTAAGTCAAAATAAATTTTTTCTAACCAATAGTTATGAGAAGATTTCATTTTCATTTTTTTTTTTCACGTCTACCATCAAACTTGCACATTTTTCTATACATTAAAATAAAATAGTGTAATTTTAATGTATAATATTTAACACTATTATAAAACTTTTCATTCATTAAATCTAATCCATTTGAATTCATTGTGAATTATATTAACATTTAAAATAATAATTTAAAGACAGACGAATCAAAAATAAACACGAATGACTAAAACTATTACTAAATCATAATATCTTATAATAACACGAAAACGTACATGAACATTGCTTGTTAAAGCCAAGCGCTAATTTATATCTGGTATAAAATACAAACAATATATTTTGAATATATTAAAATCATTTTACAAGCATATATAGGTAAATATTAATGGTCAAATTTTTCTAAAAAACATTTAAATACACCAAATTTATGATTTTTTAAAACTGGCTCAGTATTTATTTTCATCAAAATTTTATATTTTACAAATATTAGATGCATATATATAGATTATGTTTATAAAGATAAATTAACTTTAAAATGAATAAAAATATCAGCGAACTAACATACCTATTTATTGTCTAATTATTATTACACATATTAAATTTAAGTTTCTATTTATATTCAATATTTTAAAATGTTGTTACCCTTGTCACAAATAATCATTATATATATGAGAGACATATCAAAATAATTTTAGTATTTTTAATAAAATAATATGTATATTTTATATAACACATAATGTGGCTGAAGTCCTCTTGGCATATAATTTATGAGATTCACTTTACTTCAATAAATTCATAGATTATAGACATGTTATTATAAAATTTAAATAAAAATTATATTTATAGAGTAAAAAAGATTTGAAAATACAATAAACTTAACATTAAAACAAAAAAATATACAATCATTTTCATGTACGTATATGTGCATTTTGACAGTACAGAATAGACAAATTAGTTGGATATTAAAAGTATTATCATTTTAAACTTGATATGAAATATCATTAGATTTTAACTAATTTAAACGTTTAAAAAAAATATATTTAAATCGTACTTATAAAGTTACGAGTATGTATAAAAATACAATTTTATTATAAAAGAAATAGGGTTTATATAATTAATTATATAATAATTATTCATAAAAATATTAATTTCGAATTTTTCTTAATAGGATATCAGAATAAACTATACGTATATGATAAATTTAATCAATACTTTGAAAAAGTATAATAACATTTGTGAATTTTAGTTTTTAGTTGAAACATTATTTATTATTTAGTTATGTCAAGAATAATAATCATAAAAATAAGCAAATCTCAAGAAATTTAGTAAAGACGATATCGGAATAGAGAAAACATAACTCGATAACTACAGTTGATACTTGCTCAAAAGCACGATCAC